TGGCAGCTGGACACTTGGACCAGTACATAGAAGGAGGAACACAGCCAGCCTCCCAAAACCACAACAACCCAAACGGGATGCCGGTCGACGCTCCACCTCAAGGCGTAATTAATGTAATACATGGGATATTCGAACCTGAGCGGGTATGTGAGCTCAGGGGGATAATCAAAAAGGTTGAGCATTTAAGGGAGGTATTAAGTGCACAACCTGCCATAAAAAATGAGAGAACAGAGGCCACAAATGTCATATCTTTTTCAAACAAAGATTTAGCAAGAATATATTGATCTCACAATGATGCACTAGTTGTCACTTTACGAGTCAAGAATTTCGACATCAAACGGATTTTGATCGACCAAGGAAACTCATGTGAGATAATGTATTACGAAACGTTCAAACAACTGAAACTGAAAGACAAAGACTTAGCACCTGCAATATCTCCCCTAATCGGATTCAACTCAATGCCAGAGTGGCCAGTGGGCAAGATAATCCTCCCAGTCAAGGCAGGAACCATGACGAAACAGGTGGAATTCTGGGTGTTAAAAGTTCATTCCACTTACAACATAATCTTGGGAAGGACATGGTTGCACGCCATACGTTCGGTAGCGTCAACCTATCATCAAGTATTGCGGTTCCCCAATGAAGCTAGAGTAATTGAAGAGGTCTTTGGAGACCAAATTATCTCCAAACAGTGCTTCGTCAAAGTAAATGGCAGCTGCGCTGCCAAAGGGTATGTACAGATAGTGGAAGAACCTGAGAACAATGAACTGTTTATAGACGTTAGCAAGGCAGCTGAACAGAAGGCAGTGGAAGACTTGGTACAGGTAAGGATAGATGAAAAAGACCCAGAAAAGTTCTTTTTGCTCGGCTCGTCTTTGTCCAGCACTGAGAGAATAGAGATCATGGAATTCTTAACCTCTAACATCGAAGTGTTTGCCTGGACATCGCATGACATGCTTGGCATTGACCCAAACTTCATTTGTCACCAACTGAACGTCCACCCAACTGCCAGGCCAGTTATACAGCGCACTCGCAGATCAGCACTCCACCATGCCGAGATAGTGGCAGAAGAAATGGGAAACTTGCTGGAGGCAGTAGCTATCAGAGAAGTGCACTATCCCATGTTGATCTCCAATACCGTAGTAGTGCCAAAGAAGAACGGAAAATGACGTGTCTGTGTGGACTACAAAACAGTAAACAAGGCATGCCCAAAGGACAGTTTTCCCCTACCACGGATAGACCAACTGGTAGACCTGACGGCAGGACACAATCGACTTAGCTTCCTTGATGCGTACAGAGGTTACTATCAGATCGCTATGTATGAACCAGATCAGGAGGTCACGTCATTTACAACGCCTAAAGGATTGTATTGTTACAAGGTCATGCCCTTTGGCCTAAAAAACGCAGGGGCAACATTCTAACGGATGGTCACCAAGATGTTTGAACCATTGTTAGGCAGAACAATGGAGGCTTACATAGATGCCATGGTGGTCAAGAGCAAGGATGAGAAGGACCATCTCAGGGACTTAGGTGAAATGTTCTAGATTCTAAAGAATAACAAGTTGCGCCTAAATGTATCCAAGTGTGCATTCGGTGTAGGGTCAGGCAAATTCCTAGGCTTTCTGGTGACCAACCGAGGTATAGAAGCAAACCCTTCTCAGTTCAAAGCAATCCAGGATCTTGAGAGGCCCAACACAATCAAAGAGGTACAATATCTCATCGGCCTAGCAGTCACGCTCAACCGGTTCATAAGTCGGTCGTCAGACAGATGTCGACCATTCTTCCAAGCATTAAATGCCAAGTTTGAGTGGGATGAAGAATGCGACCGCGCCCTAGAAAGCTTGAACGAGTACATGTCTTCTCCACCGTTGCTAGTAACCCCAATACTTGGTGAAGAGCTCTTTTTGTACTTAGCAGTTTCACAGCACGCAGTCAGTGCAGTGTTGGTTAGAGCGGAAGGAATCCAACACCTGCCCATATTTTATGTTAGCAAAACCTTGCTGGGCGCAGAAACCAAGTACTTACCATTGGAGAAACTGGCCTTAGCCTTGACGATGGCCTTAAGAAAGCTGTCGCATTATTTTCACGTCCACACTATAATCGTCCTAACAGCTTTTCCATTAAAAGCTTTGTTTGAGAGGGCGGACTTTTCAGGGCGAATCTTGAAGTGGGCGGTGGAATTAGGACAATTTGATATCAAGTTTCAATCCAAAATCGCAATAAAAGCCCAAGTTTTGGCAGACTTTGTGGCAGAGTTCACACCAGGAAGTCATCACATCTGCCCAGTTGACTTGACTGGTACAACAGAAAAGGGGATGGAAAGTGCCGCAGGAATTACGCAGCCCCCAAAACAAGATGCCCAGCCACATCCCAAGGCATATCGGATTGAAGAAAGGGAGGAAGAAACAAACCAAGCCATTCCCAGTGAGGAGTCATCAAAAAGTAAAGATTGGAGGCAGTCTGACAGTGAAGATACAACACCTACAGCCGGCGTGAACTTGAAGGAAAACACCGATAACATTCATGATCCCAAAACATCATCCGATCCATCTACTTGCTGGAAACTATTCGTTGGAGAGGTGTGGAAACTCTTTGTGGATAGAGCATTCAACAGGCACGGTGCAGGACTTGGCATAGTCCTCATATCACCAGATGGACTAATAGTGGAACGAACAATCAACCTTGGCTTCCCAGCATCAAACAATGAAGCAGAGTATGAAGCGCTTTTAGCAAGCCTAAAATCAACACTCTTTATGAAGGCCACCGAGCTAATGGTTCACAGTGACTCCCAGCTGGTAGTAAACCAGCTTTCAGGCGACTACGAGGTGAAAGATGAGAGGATGGCTAAGTACCAAGAGTTAGTTAGAAAGGAAATCATGAAATTCGACGTAGTGCGGATAGAGCAAATCGGCCGAGAAGAAAACAGTAGAGCAGACGAACTAGCAGGCTTTGTTTCGATAGAAAATACATCCATCCCACATCCATTACTGATTGACTTCCTACCAAGATATAAATTGTGAAGAGTAATATTTTACAAACTAACAAAATTTAAAAAGAGTTGAGAAATTGAGAGTCGGCGAGGTTTCTTATGACATTCTGTTTTGATAATTTAAATCGTTCATTTTGTAGGGGCTTAGTGTATATTATTAATATAAAAAATTAGGTCAATTTAATAATGGTAATATTTTTATTTTATCACGCTTGATTCTGAAAAAATGAACAACAGATATATTTTAAAAAATAGACTATTCATTTTTTGAATTCAAACACCATATGATAAAAATTTACGATTATCATATAAACTTAATTTTTTTTTTATGAGTGATACACACAAAGAATCCTACAAAATAAACGGATCAGATTATCGAAATAAGACTCATGGTGGACCCCACAAACCTCTCAAGTTCTCTCATCAAGTCCACATGCATAAGAAAATTTTCATGTATCCCATATCAATTATTGATGTAGGTCTTGTCTCTTATTCTAAAATTATATTATTGAATGACACATCAATAAGATGATTGTTGGTTTAGGAATTAACTATTTTAATTAATTTTTTGATTTTTTACGAAAAGATATATAGAAAAGTAAAAAAAGATGTGATAACTTATACTAACTTTTTAACTTTTTTTAATTTGTTGCCAAACCAAGTATATAACAGATGAGTAGGCATTATGCATAATGGTGATTACCACTTCATTATTAACACAAGATGTCATCAATAAAAAATAAAACAATATATGAAATGGTAAGCTCGTTATTCCAGTGTAACTATTTGATCGAAAACAATCCAGTAATAATAATTTTTGCACATGTATTATGCTTATACGGTGATTTGTTATTAGATAGTGGTAGCACATGTTGAGAATAATGTGATATCACCGTAGTATTAATTTATTTTTGGCGCATGAGAGATATATACTTTGTTAGTGTTTGATAAACATTTTGAAGGCGGATGATATCCCAAATTCAATAGATAACACTAATACATTAATGATATAAATGGTATCCCAAATTCAAGAGATAACACTCTTAATAAATCAATGACACACATGGATATCCCAAAATCAAGAGATAACACTCTTAATACATTACTGACACAGATGATATCTCAAATTTCACAATAATATTACTGGATGATTAGAACATCTCCAATGGTATATGTTATTTCACCTCCTAATGTCAAAATGTAATAATTGAGCTTAAAAAAAATAAAAAAATAAATAAAAAATCCCACAGCAATATTCAATAGAAAAATGTTTGGAACTTCCTTTTTTAAAGACTCTACAACTTTTTTTAGATTTCAACCATTGATGTATATGTGAGACCCACTCATGTATTTGTGGGGCCCACACCATCAATGGTTGAGATCTAAAAAGGGCAACCATTGATGTATATTTGAGACCCACTCATGTATTTATGGGGCCCACACCATCAATGATTGAGATCTAAAAGGGACAACCATTGATGTATATGTGAGACCCACTCATGTATTTGTGGGCCCACACTATCAATGGTTGAGATCTAAAAGGGGTTGTGGGGGTCTAAAAAAAAAAGAGGTCTCAATCATTATTATATTCAGTATAACTTGCCAGATTAAGGCTCTTCACTCTATTGTGTTATGATGAGGCACACAAACAATATCTAAATTTATCATTGTGTAAGGAAGAAGGAAAAAAAAATAAAAAAATAAAAAAATAAATACAAAAAGAAAATGATATTGGGACAATTTCAGTAGGCTTGTGAAACATCACATTATAGATAATGTAATATGGTAAAATATAATTTTTTTTATACTATAAAAGGAAAAAAACCAATAGAGATGCTCTGAGGTCCATATGACAAGAAAATATTCTTCATGAAAGATGTAACCACCCCCACAATCCACACAACTACTCCAATGGTAGATGAGCAAGTCATAATAGTCATTGCTTTTCTGCGCTTATAGCGGAATATATATATATATATATATTTAAGTGAACCAAAATTTACCTAATACTAGCCCAGCAAGTAACCCACAATCCAGATAATAAATTTTAGAAGAACTATTAATTAAAGTTTCACTTACTTTTGTATATCTATATATACACAACATTATTATATGCCTCTTTTGAAAGTCCAAAGTTAACTGCAATAAACTCATTGACTAGGATTAAGTAACGGTTAGCCAAAGAGAAGAACATCCAAAAGGTCCAAAACCCACATGCCCCCCTTGTGCTTCCACTTCCCATATTTTCAAGAACCGCTTTACCTTTCTCAATTTTTAAAGTTTGTTTCCCAAATGTCACAGTTGGATGGGCTAATAGAATCAGACTGATATATTATTAAACAAAACAAGCCCAAGAAATTAGTATATAGGAAACAAGAACCTTATACAACTCTACAAAGTACATACCTTGGTTTACAGAGTAAGGTATGTCTGTCAGTGTTCCTTCTTACCCAATTTTTGGTATGCATGTTGTGTTGTATTGTTTTGTTCTTTCTTTTCTCTTACTATTTGGATGTGTTTTGGGGAAAAATTGTGTATATCTGACCCGTGTTAAACCCTGAAGTAGTTAAGCATTGTGTACTGAGACTGTCCTTATATATATATATATATAGTTGTGGGGGTTTTGTTTTACCATGTTCTCCTCAATTGTTGTTGATTTGCAGGTTTATATATGAATTGATTGAGCTATGCAGAGGGTGGAATGGAAGAGGCAATGGGATTTGGTGGTGGGGTGGTTTGGAGTTGTTATTCAGATGTTCTTGCTTGCAGAGAGTTCTGTGAAGACCCCATTTAGGTTCTCTCTCTCTCTCTCTCTCTCTCTCTCTCTCTCATTTTCATGTGGTGCCATGTAAGTAGTTATGTGAAACGCAAATTTGATTGTGCCTGAACTTGCATACCTGTGTAAAAGATAAATCCAACTGATCTTTGTGTGGATATCCTGCAATCCAACACAGAAATTGTGCACAAAAAATTAAATGCATTCACACCACAAGAGATTTATATGTCTACTATGCACTTTGTACATTTTATTCCCATCTTTTACAAAAAGTAAATTGTGAAGAAGACGTTTCTTTTTTTTTTATTTTATTTTTTTATTTTTTTATTTTTTTATTTTTTGAGATTTTGACAAAAAAATAAATGAATAATTTTTGTACATTTTTTTGTTTTTGGTTCACGGGATGCTACAGTTTGTTTGTCAATGGAACATGGTAGCCGATTGTGAGAAGAACATTAAACACAAATTTTTATTTTTCGGTTTGGAAGCTTTTGGACTGGACTAGACTGGGCTTTTATGTGCTGATCTATTGTTGTCTTATGTTCGTTATTTTGTCTTATTTTCATGGTATTGTTCAAACATTTAAAGCTTCTTTGTTTCACTATCTAGTTTATAATAATCTTGCAAAGCTAGTTTAAGACTACAAATTACAATTATTGTAAGATTAAATTATTTTTAAACCATCTAATGATTATGCTTTAACATCCTAAAAAACTTATGAAAATTAGTGAACTCATGCATATTAGCCTAAGGATTGACAAGAAGGCAACTTTTTTAAATTTTTTTTTTTTTTTTTTTGGGTGAGAAGAAGCAGACGCGAAGGAAGAGAAGAAGAAGAGAAGAAGAAAGAAAGAAGAAGAGAAGAAGAAGGGAAGAAGGGAAGAAGGCAGAGGCAGAGGAAGAAGGCAAAGGCGGAGGCGACGGCGACGGCGGCCGGGCGGAGCTGCGACGATCGCAGAGCTGCGACGAAATCGGCAGAGCTGCGACGATCGGCAGAGCTCGACGATCGGACGATCGGCCGGAATGCAGGGGCCTCTATGTGTGTGTGTGTCTCCATTCCCTCTTCTCTCTTCGTCGTTTTGGCCATTTTGATGTTGTTTTGTACTCAAAACGACGTCGTTTTGGCCATTTGAGCCACATTTGAGCCACAAAATTTGGGCCCTCTACCATTGCTGTTTTCTCAAAATACCCTCATTTACTTCGTTTTTCATATTTTTTGGATATAGGGATGGGCTTCTGCTGTTGAGTACTGTGGGTGGGGTCCATGAGCCCTATTTTGATGATATAGAATATTTATTTATTCAATTATATGTGTAAATCATTCATAAATAAAAAAAAATAAAGTTAATTTGATAATCATAATTCATAATTTTATTGAATTTGTCTACAAAGCAACGTATGGTTCATTTTAAAAATTATTTTCCTCGTCTAGTTTTTTGTAAACAAATATCAACAAAAGATGTGGCTATTGTTATCAGATTAATTATTTTTTTTAATAAATAATATCTAAACATAATTGAACAAAAATCAATTAGTCATATAATCCAAGTGAAACTGTGGTGAGCTCCGCAAAACCCAACAACACCTGCACCTCCAACTCACAAAGAAACCTTTCCCTCTATCTTTGCAGACTGTTTACAAATTCTTACGTATTGGGAGGTCCTAAAAATGAAAAGATTATTAGATATAAATAAGATATAATGTGACCAATATCCTAAATCCTAAATTATAAAAATATTAATATGAATAATACGATAGGCTTTCCATATAAACTAATTATATTGAAGCAAAATATAGATTGTAATATTTATAATGGTGAGATTTTATTACATCATCTAGTAGTGAATGTGATGATTTTTTTTTTTTTAATTTAAAACAATTATTCGTACTTCATAGCGATTAAATTTGTAATGAAAATTCTCCATCACACATAAAATGGATACGATTAAAGTCCGCAAAATATAGTAAGGTACCATGAATTAATTAGGAGTATATAAATATAAAAATATAGGGTAAACTACCAATAGGTCTTAATAGTTAGACTTAATTCACATTAAGTCCTATTGAAAATAAGTCTTGATAAAATTGTCACTAAAAATAATTTTGTTGTGACAATTTTTTACATACGTCGTTAAAAAATGACCGCTAATGACTTTTTTTGGATATGATTTTTATAAATTATCGTTAAAATTTTTAATTAGTGATTTTTTTATGACAAATTTTTTTCATAAGATCTATTAAATAATAAATTCACTTATTAAGACCTACACGTAAGTACCCCAATAATATATGTTTTACTTTACAATAGGAGGCACAGCATAATGTCAGCCATGCGCACCCAGGTGGATTTTCTTTTCGCCGTAATTCATGTGTCATACCACTCACTGGGCTAACATTCTTCTTTTTGACAATGGCCAAAACTGATTTGGTAATTAAAAAAATTAGCCTGCAATCATGGGAATTCGAAGATAAAAGAAATCTTAGTTACCAAGATTTATCTAGTTTATTAGATTTTTTCCCAGAAAATAATTGCGTGATGTAGATTGAAATAGTATTGTGTGGAGTCATATATGAAACAAATTTAGATCATAGACCGATAATTCTAAATGAAGATGAAGTTGAAATTATTAATCCAACCATGAGTTGTATTGAAATTTAATTCTCAAATGGAAGTTATTTTCCACTTAATTTTTAAATTCAATTTGTTTATGAAGTCAGGGTGGGGGTGGCAGAGGTGGCAAGGAAGGGAGGGTGGCTGGAGTTGGAATAAGGTTTGGATTAAAGTTTGAGAAGTAAGGAATAAAATTAAAATTTTATAATGAAATAAAATTATAATAAAGAAATTAAAAGGATACAAATTCATTAAAAAAAAAAAGAGTAAAGTAATATTCAGTGTGTTTGGTTTGAGTTTTCTGGATTAAGTTTTTTGAAAATTGACTTTTTTGGTTTTCATGTTTTTTGTTTTTAGTGAATATTTTTTAAATTTTAAACAGTTTTTTTACTTTTTTAGATGCACCTTACTTAGATGTATCTAAAAAGTAAAAAATTTGTGAAAAAATATTTAAAAAATTAATAAATACATAAAAATATAAAAAATGTACTGAATTCTTGTATTTTTTTTTGTATTTTTAGTATTTAGTGAATTTTTAAAAGATTTTTTTTATATTTTTTTTACTTTTTAGGTGTATTTATGTTAGGTGTGTCTAAAGAGTAAAAAAATTACTTAAAATATTAAAAAAATTCAGTAAAAACAAAAAAACACAAAAAATAAGAAAGTAAAATTTTCTGAAAAGTATTTTTTAAAAAAATTCAGTAAAAACAAAAAAACACAAAAAATAAGAAAGTAAAATTTTCTGAAAAGTATTTTTTGAAAAGTGAAAACAAGCAAGGTAATACTATTAGCAACACTCTACAATATAAACCCCCCCAAAAAAAAATCAAAAAGTCAAAAAAAAAAAAAGATTTGTCCCGTGCTTATCTGAAAGTGAGAACAGAATAGCTGTAGCCTAGAGAACATTTCACGCCTAGCAATGCATACATGTGACCATGTCCTTGCAAAAAATTGGATGCTTCAATTTTAATGGAACTTCTTCCTGCTATTGGGACTGTTTAAAGTACTTTATTTGATTAGTTTTAAATTTTTTATTTTGAGAATCTGTGTGTTGGATTATTTAGTAGAGTTTTTGTTTATAATATATAAGTTAAAAATAACTGAAAATAGTTGTTTTCTGGAGAGTACTTATGTGAAGGTGGGGTCCACACTCCTCTATCTATCTCTCTCTACTCTCTTCCATTTCACTAGAGCTCCATTTAGAATTTTAGTATCAGAGCTATATATCATCACCTTGAGAGTTCTAATGCAGCTCTAATGATATGAAGAGTGCTCATGTGAAGGTGGGACCCACACTCCTTTATCTATCTCTCTTCCACCTCACTAGAGCTCCGAGCTCTAATATTAGAGCTGTGTATCATCACCCAAATACTTATAGCTTCTACTTTCAAATAACAATGATAGAGACCACTAATTTTAGAGCTCTAAAAAGATCACTAATGACATGACACTCAATAAAAAAAGAAAAAAAAATACAACACCAAGGTCAAAACATCAAATCATTTATGGTGAGGCTCACTGCCACATCATTAGTAGTAGCACTAATTAGTGCTCTCACTCATTTTCCACTTTCAAATTGTGAATTTTTAACTAAATTACACCAAACACTATTTATTGTATTGTTGCATCTCCAAAATAACTCGAGCTATATACATGTAGAAAATGTGTTACTCTTGGTTCATATATTCTTAACTTGTATGGATTGGTATAATGCTTGTTTATATAATCCGTAACTGTGGTAGTTTTTCTTTACATCCAAGAATCTCTGACATCAAACTATCCTAAGAGGAAGGAGAGCTCTTAAAAAAAAAAAAAAAAAAAATATATAATCAGCAATATTATAAATTCAGAATTTATTTTAAAATAACAATTAATGATTTAAATTTATTTCGCCCGTGGGCCTCACACTTCATCAATTTAATCTCTACCATACATATCTATTCTGAGTAAATTCTGAGACTCTAATTCTGAGATCTCAAACTCTCCAAAAACATTATTGAAGATCCTTTTTTTAATGTGATCCACCAAGAAAAGAAACAAACAAAATGAGGAGAAACCAACAAAATACAAACTATTTGGATGGGTCATGTGATTCTTGAGACCCTGTAACAAATGATTCCACCTGCCAATAAAAATAGGAATTTCATTCTTCTTATATATTTGCTTCCAAAACAAGCCCAAGCCGGAGCCGGAGTACAAGATTTTTTAAGTCATGATCTATATTATATGAATTCTTTAAAATAAATCGAAAAATTATATCGGACACTATAGTATGAGATATGTGTCTGATACTTCATTGAACACTTCTCATATATTTGTATTTAACATTATCTTATACATATTATGTATCATTTGTTATGTAATTACTATAAAATATTTTTTTATTTTTTATGTTGTAGGTTAATAGATTAAAAATATAAAAATATAATTCTTTTTTGTCAAGTTCGTGAAGCCTTTAAATTTAAGATTTGATGCATCTGCTCTCTAAATAGGCACACCTACACCTGCACCTGTATCTGAATTCATGTAACATAGGTCACGATTTAGGCAATTCACTACCGAACTTTGTGCCATTATTTTCTTTATGACGAGTACACAAATTAATCACAAGTCAATTTCTCTCGTCAGCAAAGTCATTTTGCTCTAACCTTGGACAATCCAACCTGCGGGGCCGCTTTTAATTATTGAGCTCAGCATGGAGATAGATATATCCCCAACAAATAGGGACACACAGGGTTGGGCCTGAGTTTTTGGGGTCTAAGGTGAAATAAAAACAGAGGTCTATATTTATAAAGAAGAAAAAAATCACTTTATTTCGTATCACTATCGTCGATTGATACCAAAATAGATATCAAAATGTATTCACACAAAAAAAAAAAGTTACCAAAATTAGGAAAACTTTATTCAATTAAAATGTATTGGATATGTATTGAATTTATTGTTGTTTATTAAATATTTTGTTTATGAGTGTGGTTGCATTGTTGTTTATTGAATGTGTTGTTTATGAATGTGATTGAAATTGAATTAATTGTTTATTCTACTAAAATCTGATAAACAAGAAAAGTAAAAAAAAATTAGGACAAATTTATTTATTATACTAAAATCTGATAAAGAAAGAAAATAAAAAAAATTAGGGGTCCTATTTTGGGCCACTAACATTTTGTATGTGCATATAGTGTTTATCATTCAAAGGCCACCAACATTTTGTATATATTTTAATTTCAATTGAGGCAAAACACACTTATAAGCAAATATGTGTTCAACTAAATATTTTTGGGTCTTTTAGATTAATCCTAAAACAACAAAAATAATTTCGATCTATTTATATTTGTAATATATTACAATACTTTTTTAAATTTAGAAGCCCTATTTTAAGCCAATTTTTTGGGGCATGAGGTACAGACCTCAATAGCCTTAGCCAGGGCCAGTTCTGGGGAAACAGTCTTACACACTCTCTAAATTGGTAACCCAACAATTAACATTCTTTATTTTTTTTTTTTTTGTAAATTTTTTGGTTCAATTGCAGAAGATTTCCAGGAAGCATGAACAGTGAAGATCTATTGTTGTATCCACCAGTTCATCTACAAATACTGGATCAGCATGTAAAACTGCATTTAAAATTCCTCTTACTCTTTATATTTAATAGTTGTCCAACATTTATCCAAAACTCCAATATAGATTCTTTGTTGCTCATTTGGATTCTTGATAGTCAAGAGGTTTAAACTCTCAAACCCCTTTTAAATAACTTTTACTCAAAATATCTACACATATATTTTCAGGTTGTGATGGACAATGGCCTGGTCAATGTCACATTGTCTACCCCACAGGGTATGGTCACAGGAATACAATACAATGGAATTGACAATTTATTAATGGAAGTCAATAAAGGAAGAAAAAGAGGGTAAGTACATTTACATGTTTTTATTTTTTGTAGCTCTTTACTTTAATATGACATTGTTAGTTAAGATTTTGAAATTCTGCTCCACATAGGAATGCAAAGGAGCAGAATTCAAACAAACTTCAAACGAATTGACCTTGAGCTATGAACAGTTTTATTTGTTTCCAGCCCTTATTCTACAACAATTATATCTTCTAGACCCAATATGGATTAACAAATTGAACTCTTAGACAAAGAACTCTGTTTTATGGTGAAAGGAACGAAATTACACTGATTGTACACGCGTAATTTTTTTTTTTAGTTGGTTCTTTAGATTAGCTCTTTTACTGCATTTAATCAAGGACAATTAACTTAAAATCTCCATTTGCACTCTGTTTGATTGGATTAAACTGAGTTTAGGTATTGGGATGTCGTTTGGGACGATCCAGTACATCTTGGTGGCAAATATGACTGGTAAATTTCTTTTTTCCTTAAGTAGATTAGACCTGTTATGTAAAACAATATAACCCTACACTAAAGATGAATTAAACCACTTGAACTGCTTTCATGCAGGCTAGAAGGGACAAGTTATAGTGTTGTAATGGAAGATGAAAATCAAATAGAGATTTCTTTTACAAGAACATGGGATTCATCCCTAAATGACATAGGAATGCCCCTGAATGTAGACAAAAGGTTCATTGAAAGCATTTAGCATCAGCTTAATTTGCAGCCAAACAGATCTTAGCAAGTTCTGCTTATTTTTAATCTGTCAACGTTGATTTTGTAAACATTATTTGCAGGTTTATAATGCTGCGTGGATACCCCGGTTTCTACTCGTATGCAATACTTGAACACTCCGAGGGATGGCCTGACATTAACATCTACCAAGGGAGGATTGTATTCAAGCTTGAAGAAAGCCTGTAAGACATATATGATTGTTATGGTTATGTTATTCTAAATTGTTGACTAGGTTTGACATGAACAGAGTAATTTAAGGAAAATTTAATCTTGATATGATACATGACTAGGTTTCAGTACATGGCTGTATCGGATGAAAGGCAAAGGATTATGCCAACACCACAGGACCGTGAAACCGGCCTAGTCCTTGACTACCCTGAAGCTGTTCTGTTGACAAATCCAAGCAATCCAGAGCTCACTGGGGAGGTAAGCTTGACCATTTTTCATTCACCTACTAGTTATTGCTAAGACAGTCCTATTTCCTAAGTTTTGTGGTAATGGTTTTGTGAATTGACAAAAATGCCCTTGTGTGATTCATCAAGAGTGTTAACTTGTTGATATTTTCGTTACTTCATGAAGACTTGACAATCACAAGAGGAAAGATTGTATTTGTGTAGTTAGATATGCTAGTTTTTTTTCTTTTTTGATGTTGTGTCATGTAGGTGGATGATAAGTACCAATATTCATGTGATGACAAAGACAATCGGGTTCATGGGTGGATATGCTCTAACCCGGCTGTTGGATTTTGGATGATCACACCCAGCGATGAGTTCCGTACAGGTGGCCCTGTCAAGCAAGATCTCACCTCGCATGTTGGCCCAACCACTTTATCTGTAAGTATCCGATATTGTTCCCTTTGCACAATCCATTGCTATTGAGTGACCTCTTGCAAATGGCATCAATTTTATTCACTGGCCCAACATAGTGGCTCATTTACAAAATGAATTTCATGACAAGAAGGAAAAAAAAAAAAAAACGAAAAAAGTAATATATGTAGATGCAAATTCTTGATCAATTAAAAGAACAAACATTGTTTTGTATTATAATGATGACATCCATAGGAAAAACTACTTCACAACAATTGGACTGAAAAAGGAATTGATGGAGAAGAGCATAACTTTCCTGTTAAGCACATAGCCTTCTACTTAAATCTATCCTATTGAGGCACAACCTTGCACTTTCAATAAATGGAAAATGTTATATATAAATAAATTTTTACAAATTTCCTAACTACTAGATGTTAATGTTAAAGGATTGTGTTATTTATCTTCAGATGTTTTTCAGCACTCATTATGCTGGGGACAATCTGACAATAAAATTACGAGATGGCGAGCCATGGAAGAAGGTGTTTGGCCCTGTTTTGATCTATCTAAACTCAGTTTCAGTCGAAGAGGATGCCTTAACACTTTGGGAAGATGCCAAAGAACAGGTACTACTTTGGGCATGAAATTTTTGACAACATAAAATCTAATCAGTACAAACAAAATTAACAATCTCATCTCATATGCATATATTCAGATGCTGATAGAAACCCAAAGTTGGCCATATGATTTCCCTCTTTCAGAAGACTTCCCTCATGCTGATCAACGGGGTACAGTTAGTGGCCGATTACTAGTCCGTGACAAGTAACTCCCTCTACTAGCTCAACTACACTATCTTCTTCATCATTATCAAGTGTATAATGATATTGAATCTGATATAAAAATTTTGTTTTAGGTACATTAATGAACAACTTATGACCGCAAACTTTGCTTTTGTGGGGTTGGCTGCACCAGGAAATGTTGGATCATGGCAAAGAGAAAACAAGGTTTTTTTTTTTTTTTTTTTTTTTTTTTTTTTTTTTTTTTTTTGCTGCTTTCATATATTTTTAGTCAACAAACTACGAAATATTAATGAGAATGAATCAACAAAGATTAATGTTGAAAAAAATATTTGTAGGGTTATCAATTTTGGACTCAAGCTGATGGTGAAGGGTACTTCTTGATCAAAGGTGTCCGAGCTGAAAATTACTGCCTGTATGCATGGGTCCCTAGCATTGTTGGGGATTATAGATACGATGTTTATCTCAACATAACACCAGGTTTTTACTTATCTATGTATCAACACTTAATTCATTGCTTCGATTTGTAGGAGATAGAAATTTGAAGGTTTAAAGAAATGTTTTGATTCAGACTTCTCTCTAGTTATTGGACAACCAAGCCCAGTGGTTGCTTTCGTAAGGAGTGGGCCCTACATGATGCCATGAGGCTGTTATGAGATCCACCCCTTACGAGAGTAACCCTTGGAGTGGACCATCCTGTGACAGGAGAGAAGGCAAGCCGAATTTAGTCAATGTGAAATAGCTTATGGGGTGCATTTATAATGAGCAGGAAGACACATCAGATTGGGTGTTCTTGTTTTTGACCCTCCAAGAGAAGGCCCTACCCTATGGGAGATAGGCATCCCAGATCGCACTGCTGCTGAATTCTACGTGCCTGACCCGAACCCCACTCTAATGAACCAATTATACGTCAACCTTCCAGACAAGTGAGCTCTCTCAATCACACAAACGCTCCTTAATTCTTTAAACTTGTTCACTATGAATCATTTTTGAGTAACAGATTTAGGCAATATGGATTGTGGGATCGATACACAGAAGTTTATCCTGATGAGGATCTCAGCTACACCGTGGGCATTAGCAATTATCAAACAGATTGGTTCTTTGCTCATGTTAACAGGTGTTTGTTTCCTTCTTTTCTTTTTTTCAATGTTTCGAGCAGTCAAGCTTGTTAGTTTTGCAACTGTTGGTTCTGGCATTGCATTGCAGGAACATAGGAAATAAAACATATGAACCAACCACATGGCGAATCATATTTGATCTCGACAATGTGCGCGAGACTGCAACTTATACACTCCAATTAGCATTAGCATCAGCACATGAAGCTGAGCTCGAAGTATGACTTTCTTTTTTCTTCTCTTTTTGTTATTTTTACTCTATTGTCTTTCTTTAATTTCCACTATGCATTTCTTGTCAGTTGGTAAACTAGGTGAGAAAAGAAATAAGAATATTATGGTTTTAAAAAGATATTTGTGATTATTATTATTATTATTTATTTATTTTTGGATCAGAGAAAAACAACTTTTATTAATGCAATCAACTGTAAATACATCAATAAAGGAGATAAAGGAAGGTGCATGAATGCATCATAGCAAATTCAACTCATCTCAACTAGGTTGGCACAAGAGACACTGTGCAATCATTTAATAAACGACAGCAAAATCAGCCTTTAGAATACTATGACACCCTCCCATTAGCAGCCCCCCTGCCACATACTCTTACTGATCAGCTAATGAGCAAAACCAAAGAAGTAAGAATCTAAATCCTTGGCTAAAACAAATGAACCCATCCAATTGTTAATCATCAAAATCCTTAGAAGACACCTTTGATCTGCTGCAAATTAAAATGATTGTCATTGATTGTTTAAACCTTAAACTTAGGCTTGCTCGTATCCTAAGAAGCACGGACACGGATACGAATGTGGACATGGACATGGATGTAGACACGGGACACAGCAACAAAATATGTTTTTATATATTTTTATTTGCTATCTAGATTAATATTATATCCATACACAATCAATATTAACAAAAACTAACTCTAATTCTGTTTATTTTTATTTTTTTTAAAACACTTTTAGTTTATATATATTTTTTATGGATGATCTATTTAGTATTTAAATCTAAGAAAAAAATAATAAACATTTAATATTCATCAAAAGGACTAAATAAAATGGGGGGAAAAGACAACTTGGCATGCCCTTAATGTGTCCCCGAACTGTCCCCTGAAAATAAATTAATTAAATAAGGGGGACACGCCATGTGGTGTGTCTCATACGTGTCTTAGAAGTGTCCACGTGTCCCTGAAGTGTCATTGTATCCGATATGAATACGGCACTTGTTTTGAAGTGTCGATACTTCATAGCTCTTATCCACACCACATCATGAATGGAAGAATCCTCAAACTTAGGCTTTTGTTTGACCCATTGAGCCACTCTAGTCATAATCAATTTGGTTATGAGCACCCAATTAGGTTAAACATTCTCAAACAAAATTTTCTTTCTCAGATTGTCCAAATGACTGCAACAGGTATTACCTCTCAGATCTCTCTGTCCTTTTTTATTGATGTCCCCTGCCACCATGAGAGTAAAGATTTGATAGAACTGCAAATACCGCTTGAATTCCCCACCAATTAATGCAGGCAGTCCAAACCTTCCAATGAATTAAGAAGTCAATGAATAGGAGATAAGTTGACATAGAAAGCTGGTTATGAAAAAGTGTGAATTCCTCAAAAAGTTCCATGTCAAAAAACCAATTTTCTAGTAGTGTCTGTGTAATCAATGAATAAGAAATAAAAGACACGTATCTTTTTAGTTTTAATACTTTGTATTTAGATAGGCAATGAGATATTTTGAAAAATTTATGTTGAACAACTTTATTTCTCACCAAATTCACCAATTCTAGGTGAGAAACAAGATACAGGTTTCAAGATATTTCTTTTTCTAACCTTTTCTCACATTTTTAATCATCCGAACACTTCCTATTTCTTTTATCATCAAACCTCTCAATTGAAACAAGCTCTTGAAGCATATTGATAACTTAAATGCATCTACTTATTCCATACATTTTAAAGTATGGCAAATTATACTATTGGTCCCTCTAGTTTGAGTAAAGTTTTAGTTTCTGTAAATTCAATTTTATCAATTTAAATCTTGCACATCTATTTACATTTTAATGTGGTCAATTGTCATCTGTCGTTACCATTTTGGAAAAGGCCACAGGCAACTCACTTGAGAATTTAAAAGTACTAAAAATGAATAAATTATATCAGTGATCACTATAATTTATATCGAATTTCACTTTGGTCTTTTTAGCTTAGCGCGTATTGTTATAAATATTAGTGATAATTGATATTTAAAGAAGAGGGTTCAAGTAGTTTTAAACTCAATCAAACTATGAGGACAAATGATATAATTTACCCTTCAAAGTATGATCATTTGATATTTTGGTTCTTTACAAAATTACACAACCTTGTTATGATCGTGTTCATTAACATTTTGCTTCTAAATTTTCACATTGGAAAGGTTCGGATCAATGATCCAGATGCAATGCCTCCTCACTTTACAACGGGGTTCATAGGCAAGGACAATGCTATTGCAAGACATGGGATTCATGGTTTGTATTGGTTGTACAGTGTGGAAATATCAGGATCTCAACTGGTTTCCGAAACCAACACAATCTATCTAACACAGTCGAGAGGTTCAAGCCCTTTCAAAGGAATCATGTATGACTATATCCGTTTCGAAGGGCCCCCTGAAACAGATTAATATTGCATTGCAGATGTATATATTGCATCAATTTTATTTTATTTTTTTTAAAAAAGGAAAGAAAGAAATGTAAACCCCATAGGTTAACTTATATTGCTTTGATATCTATGATTAAAGGAGTTGATAAATATAGTTCTTTGAAATGCATGACAATAAGTAAGTTGATAGAATTTTTACTTTTTAGCAATGGAAGAAGCAATTGGCAATGGAAGAAGCAATTGGAGACCAATTTGTTTCTTTAGGCTTAATCTTGTTAATTAATGTTGTTACTGGAATTGGATTTAGTCTGTTTGTAATTTCCGCATACAAAGCATGTGCTAATTGTTTATGTTAGGTGTAGAAGTTTGTGTTCCAAGTGTTTGAATATTGAAGATGTCAGTAGGCATATGCAAATTTTAAAATTTTGTGTCCTTTGACAAAACGATGTGTGCTTCAATCCAATCTTTGAGTAAAGTTGCATAAACATATTACATTAGTTTGGTCACCAATATAAAACTCTTCTCTAATCGTTCATCTTGCAAAACCACTCACACATCATTCATACTTAGATCACCTTGATGTATTAGTTATTGATTGCTATCAGTGCCATGAGGAGTAGAGATCTTGATAAGAGGATGACAGCATACTTAGAAGTAGTTGTAAGGGATTGTTTGCAACTAAAAAAAAAATAGCCTAAAAACCAAAAAAAAAAAAAACCCAAAAAAACCCAAAAAAAAAAAAAAAAAAAAAAAAAAACAACAACAACAACAACAAAAAAAAACCCAAAAATCAAATATTCATTTTTACGTGTCGTTTCGGAAGTGGGTTGGCTTTTTGACTTTTTTGACTATTTTAGCCTGGGGCTAAAAAACCTGGTTTGGAAAGGGCTTTAAGCTTTTTCGGCTTTTTTGACTTTTTTATGAGAGAAAGAATGAAATGATTATGGGTTGGATGTGATGTTTTCTCTTATTGGACTAAAAAGCTGTGTGAGTGAATTTCTGACCACACTGCCAACTCAGTATTCAGCTGGAGAGCACTGACAGAATAGATGGCGCCTGACTAGCCTACAACAGAAAGAAGAGATTTCGGCAGTGGTTCGTCCACCCAGGGGCACTCCAACGATCAAGTCAGTTATCTCTCAAAGATAAATCAAGTGCTTAACTCTCTGTTCAGAATAGAAATTGCGTCCCTTAGACCTATGGGGGTGTCTCTCTTTTATAGTTAACTCAATCTTAATCTGAATAGAAGCCTAGCTTCAATGGACTTCTGCTCAGTGCTTATCTTGGACTCTCCCATAGATAAAGATAAACTCCCAAGAGCTTTATCCTTATCTAGGCTGAAGTCCTTCCTCATTCTAGGACTCTTGTCCCTTATTCGCTTATCCCGGATTCCGATATCTGCGGAGATAACCTCGGCCTAGCCGTGATCACATCGGCGTCACGACCAGGACACGTGGCACCTCGGCTGACATGTCGACATCACCTTGGCCACGTGTTGCTACTCAGAAAATATATCCCCACAACTGCCCCTAGGTTCTATTACCTCGGCATCCTGAGGTGATGGAACCTATATCGTTCATGTCGGCTATCATAAATTTACCGAGGTCATAATACACCGGCTTCTTACAACCAGGTCCTGTAGTTTGTCTCATCAAGCTTTTTAGAACCAATAACTTAGTTTTATTCGAGTTTCGTTTAGCCGACATATTCCTTACGGCCGAGGTCACTGCTTCATTAAACCAAGAACTCCAAGAGTTTTGTCACGCGTATGAGCTGTCGCGCACAATAGTTCAATCGTTTCTACCACGTGTCTGTCCCCTACTGGACCGTGTCCAATACGCACTATTCAAGTCGTTTTGCGCCTGCCTGCCTCATCTGACATATACGTTGTTCTAGACTCATTAATTTCTTTTTGCCACCTTTTCAAGTTTTTGACAAAACTCGTTTCTTCTCTCCTCGTCTTTTCACTTATCATCGTTTTTGTTTAAACTCTCTCTCTTACTTTCTCAAATCCTCCATTGTTTCAAAGCTTTCAAGTTCTGCTACCACCGCTATTCACCCCATCCGGCGAGGCTCTTGCTAGTCTTTTTTGCTGCTTTCGCTCGTCTGACTTCGGCGAACTCAATACCGGCTTCTTTTCTTCGATGAGTTACTGTTTCTTCCCGATTTAACTTCTTGTTTCAGTTTCTTTTTTGCTTTACTGAACTCCACTGCTCTGCCTCTTCAATCCTACTCATATCTTTGATATTTCAACTCGTATCTTGTTTTTTGCTACATGTTTGTCTCATGATTCTGTTTTTTGAATTCACACTGTTCACATACTTATTGATTTTTGTCATTGTTCTTGACCTAGCACACCTGCGCAAACTTTTGTCTTCTGTTTCTTGATGATCCATCACTGTTCTTGATTCTGAATTGCATTCATGTTTTCTGTTTCCTTTCCAGATTCGTGCCTTCAATCTTCATTTCCATAGATCTAGGTTTGGGATTTGCTTGTAGAACCCACAAATTTTTAGGAAAAACTGAAACGATCCCCACAAATTCTTACCCCAGCTCACATTTAGGTTTTAGCCGAGGTCTTTTAAAAACCATTACAAAACACTTTCTTCCGAAATCCTTCACCTTCTCCTCAAGCCGACATCATGGGTATGTGAAAGCATAGGTTAGATACCCCGACCAAGTTAGAACACTTTAGGCAGGAGTTTGACATCCCAGCCGACGTACATCTGAGGTTGGCTGGGGAGGATGACTCCATCATGCCCGATGTGAACCTCATGCCGTTTCCAGTAGTGGACTTTATCGAGTGTGGACTTAAGTTTCCACTTAACACCTTTTTTCGAGAAGTCCTTCTTTACTATAAATTGAACCCAATGCAATTTGTCATCAATTCTTATCGAGTTATCAACGGTGCAATAGCCTTAGTCAAACAAGAGAATGCTAGGGTTACTCTTGCCGATTTCCAGTACTGTTACACTATGTGTCGCCTGAAATCGGCAAAAGGCCATATCTATTACCTCAAGCCGAGGTCTACTGAGCACAAGCTCATCGCCGACCTCCCAGACTCAAACAAGGGTGCTGGAGACGACTACTTCATCATCTCGGGAAACTGGGAATTTCAGCCCAACGATGACCTCCACCTTTATCCCCTAAGCCGAACAGTTTTCAGGGAAGGAGATGGTAAGGGCTAAGTGTCACTTTTTCTTACTCTATTTTCTAAAGTTCTCAATACTTTGTTCTAATGTCTGTGCCCTCCTTTTTGCAGTTCTTCCTCAGCCACCAAAGGGCTTTCGCCAGTCTTTCTTCCCCAGCAAAGACTTGAAGAAGCTATTGGATTTGCTAGTCCACAAACGGAGAGCCCCTTTGTTGTTTAATTTCATTCCCACTTACAAGTCGGTTCTTCCCGACGTTCCAAAGAAGAAGAAGAAGAAGAAGAGTCAGTATCCTCCGTCCGCCACTACTCCTCCAACAGCCTCATCATCTCGGCTAGATCAAGGATCGACCCCTGATCCAGCAGTGCAGCCGTCAACCTCGGCTCCATATCTGATCCCACCATCTCAACGCCAACGCCGGCAACGAACTGTTTTTGCTATTGAGATAGGCCGCCAGAAAGTAGTTGCCAAAGATCTCTTGGCCAACATTCCTGACTCAATTGATGCTCAGCCAGCACAAATCCAGCCTCAGCCTAAACTAAAGCCAAAACGTTTGAACAAGGCTCAGCCCAAGGCAACGGTGACTCAGATTGATACTGCGGACACCTTGCCAATTTCCAAATTGGCTGAGAGTGATAAGGCCCCATCTGCTGCAGAGAAGAGGCCTGCCGAGGCCCAACCATCCGAATCCACAAGATCAAAGAGGCCTGTCTTCTGCAACAGCTTCGGGCTCCATGAAGTCTAACTCCCCTTGGGCCCCCCAAATCACACTAGAGGACAGGTCGGTTAGAGCTGGTGATAGTGCCGATGACGTCAATGTCGGTGTTGTCCTTAGCACAACTTTGTGCCTTCCTGGAGATCTCGACCGAAACGTCGAGATGAGTGAATATGAAAACTTTGCTCTAATGCTCCAACGCTCTGTTCAAGTAAGTCTTTTTATTCGGTAATTTTTTCTTTCTTTCTCTTTTTCATACTTAGAAAATTTTCTAATAACTTCTGCTTTGTCCATTTTTCGTCAGGCAATCCAGCACGCCCACTCCTTCTCAATGCAATCTTTTGAGACAAAGAAGGCGCTGGCTGACAAGACTAGGGAGGTTGCTAGTCTATAGAAGACCAATAAAAGGGCCGAGGCAAAAATGAAGACTTTGGAGGATCAGGCCGAGGCTGCTATCAAAGCTAAGGATGACGCCGAAGAAAAAGCAGATGTTGCTGAGGCCATCAAGAAGGTTCTCGAGGCCGAAAAGAGAGAGGCCGAGGAAAAGATGACCCAGGCCCAGAAAGAACTTCAAGATGCCTTGGCCACAAAAGAGGTCAAAATCAAGGCCGCCGACGAGAAGGGATACAATGAGAGGGTGGCCGATGTCACGCGGATTATGAGAAACATGTGACGCAGGCATACAACAAGGGTTTCACCCTTGGTTGGATGACTTTGCTGAAAAAGTTTGAAATCCCCAAGGACTCCTCCCTCAGAAACACCGACGTCCTTGCCCTGCCATTCCCTCCAACTCCAAGCCAATCCGACGACAATTCTGAGTCTGAGGAGGAAGCTTTGGTGAGGAAGTCAAAGGAAGCTACTGGGGCCAAGTCCCCTACTCCAAATGAGTAAGTCCTGGACTTGACTCAAGATGAGGAGGGTGAGGAGGTTCCCAAGGATGCTACTCCTGAGAAGGCATCATCGGACGTGCCTCTCGCCGACAAAAGCCTCGATCAAACCCTTCAAGAAATAGATGCCGAGCTCGCGGCTGAGAAGGCTACCGAGATGTCCTCTCAGCAGTCTTCTGAACTTCAAACCCAACCATCTGGTGTTGCCGAAGAGTCTTAATTTTGATGTCCTTTTCCTTTTTATTTTGTACTTTTGTTTTTTTTCTTTTTGGAACAATTGTAAGCTTTGGCCGACATGTCATATTTTGAATGTTAATACAACTTCCTTTCCTGAATGCATGTATCTTTGTCTTCTCTTTACTGCTCTTGTATGATTCGATACTTAGAATATTTTGCATATCTTCAATGCACACTTTAACTATGTAATTTTCTCGAG